GAGGAGAAATCAGCAGACATTTTGATAGCATCACATTCATATCAGATTTATTTCATTTTTACAGCCGTTTTTCACAATAACATCCAGGTAAAATCCTGAACAAGGCTAACACTGAACAAATGCTTCATATCAGCAAGATGTTTTCAGCATAAACATGATCAGAAACTATATTCATGTCCACCATAGGGGAAACATACTTTTATAGACAGGAAACTAGTTATATTTTCAAAGCTACCACCATTTGTCATTGGTTGAGCCAAATAACCCTGATTGCCATCAAGTTCACAAAAAATAGTTTTCATCATCTCCTGTGCAGCTCCTTTCAAGAGGAACACTGCTGATTAATTTCTTTAAAATATTTAGGGTTTTAGGTTAAAATAAGATTTGTAGTATCAGATTGGCCTTTGCAATCATTGCAATTCATTCTTTTGGACTTAGCAAACAAAATGTGGGACTTTCCAGCACAGAAGTAAAATTATCAAATTATTTTTGCAAGGTTAACTAAGCAGACTATTGTACAATGGTTCCTCAATAGGCACAACTCAGCTCTTCCACTGTATATGCTGAACTCAGATTCATTCCTTTTGCTGATTAAACTAAGATGGTCTGTTTTCACTTTTTTGTGCTGATTGTCCATTCAGTGAGGGGCACAGAATCAGAATTTTATGAAATCAATCGTTTTAATTGATTGAGTCAATAAAGGTGAAATCCTAACAATCCTAATAAGACCAAAATAGCTATAACAACCCAGATCTCTCTTTCTCTCATTCTCTCCCTCTCCCTCCCCCTCCCTCTCTCTGATACAGAAAATGCTATAAACTGGCATTCCCCAACTTGGAACCCTCCATATGACTTGGACCTCAACTCTCAGTATTCTTAATCATTTGTTCTGTTGGTCATTTGTTCAAACTGGATAGAAGCTCAAAATATGTGGAGGGGACCAGTTGGGGAAAGCTGCAATAAAGCTATATGGCCTCTTTCTTCAGTTTATTTTGATCTAGTTATGTGAAGGTTGGCAGACACTCTCTAATGTATAACAGGGAGGTAGGTTACCAGCTTCTTTTAGAAAGGTTTAACATCAGCAGAAGAAACAGAAATTTATGCAGTGAAAATGCTCCTCATGCCTGAATCTGCAGGGCAAGAAGATCTTAACTTACTGAAGCTTGAAACACAACTCTCAAAAGCAGAAGTGCCCCACCAGGAACAAAACTAGCTGACAAAGTTTTCATTTAGATGTGCTTGGAAAGTAAGCCCCCTGTGTATGGGGATTTTAGGAATTTATGCTAAAAGTACACAACTTGATTATTTATCATTATACATTTAAAGCTCTGTAGGCAGAAAGAAATTCACAATGAGTGTAATATATTCATTTCTTACTATACCTATTCAATTAAAAGTAACTAATTTAGGCATACTCCACGAGGAGAGAAATTATGAACACTGAAAAATAAATAACCTACACTTAGACATAAAGTATGTGACAAAATGCTGAGATGCACGTGAAGAATGATCACCTTCAAATAATCACACCACATACCAGAGGAAGGGAACCTCATTCAACACAAACACAAATAATAAGCCAAGTGCTGCTGGTATATTGTACTATCAATGTACCTGTCTGAGAATTAACATGTTAGGAACTCATTTCCAGGTACAGATCTTTTTCCACCAGTTGGGAGAATAAAACACATGTAAAAATTTAATGTAAATGTACATTAGCTATAATGATTTTTCATTCATGCTGCAACTTTATTTATGCTTTCAGTTTCAAAATAAAATTTCCAGCACAATTTATACAAATAAAAAGCACATAATTATAAAATTATGATAAAGAAAGAAACCTTTCTAAAACCCGCATAATAAAGCCAATAGTAAAAAGAATTAAATGATAATATTCCTCAGATGATGAATGCCTGAGAAGATAAAAATGGTATGAACCTGATGCTAAAAATAGACTAAAGATGGTCATGGCATCCAGAGGCCTTCCTACTATGTATCAGGTTTACTTGGGAGGAGGTGTTGCTTCTGGCATCCAAATTCCAAGCCGTTCAAGGTAGGGTTGTGGCCCTCCAGATATTCTTGGACTATAAAACTCCCCACATCCCTGACCTTGAGAGCTGGGAACTGGAGTCCAGCCACAGCTCTCCTCCCCTGGTTTGGAGTTTTAGAGATAAAAAGCACCCCTTAGTATTGTGACAAGGATCCTTCTCTTGTGGAAACTCTGTGTGAAGACATACTTTTTGCCTCTCCTCTCCTGGCAATGAGTTTCACTGGAACCCAGTTCTGGAGAAAAACTTTCTCCGCCAATCCCATGTCTCCTTGTATAAATCTCTACCATATCTCCCCCATTCCTCCCCTCCCCCCGGCAAACTAAAAAAGACAAAAACACTGTAGTCTTTCCTCATATGGAATGGGATCCCCTTCCTGATCACTTTGGCTACCAGATCTTCCAGTGTCTGTTGTGATACAGCTCTGGATCTGTCTCAGTCTTCAGTAACACCATGAATGGATTTGCACAACACATAAATGGCGATTTATAAGCCATGGTGGTTTAGTGTTGTGTCCGAATCCAGTACTTTCCTGAAGAGTGGTTTATAAACTATGCTGACTTGTTGTATAGTTTAAGACGGCTTCCCATGGCTTATTGTGTTGTCCAAATCCAATCAACAAAATAAGCTGAGGCCAAGTAAAACAGAAAGCCGCTTGGCAAGAGTGGCAGAAAGGCCACTATTTAGCCAAGGGGCTAGTGGGTGACCATCCTTCCAGGCAGCCTAGAGCGCCAAAGCAGCACTTGGGTCATCTCAAAATGGTTCCCCTCCACACAAGCCATTTAGCATTGGCTGTGGCTTGAATTTATTAACTTATTTATTCAAAGATTACAAAAGCCTCTGTTAAAGGCCTTTTTCTACTTCTCTGTGAGGCCTCCAGGAAAGAACTTGTCTAAAGGATGCCCAGTGGTACCTTAGGGGGACTGGCCAGGATTGCCCAAAATGTTCTTCAACTGAAACTATTCCCCACTCCCCTCTGCACAGAGCTGACCTGTCAAAGTATGTTTTTCACTTTTTGCAATGTAAGCCCATTTCTTTGGGGAGTATCTGCTGCCCAAGTGCCTGTCCAGTGGTGGCAGTGCCCCCTGCCCCATGCTGCTGGTGAGGAGGGGGCACCTCAAAACTTAGGGAAATGCCTGAATGAGAGAGGCCTGTCCCTTTAAATCACAACCCTCCTTCCCCCACTTGGGGTTGTCCCTCAGGTTTTGCCATTTGCAGTGGTTCATTCCACTCAGGGTAAACTATAGAACTGAGGGGGCAGCTGGAGCTTCCTAACAACCCACAACCCCCACCTGCCAGTATCTACTTGGAAGGGAGAAAAATTGGGGAACTGTCCCCAGAAAGAGGTTCTTGGATTTTTAATGGTGAGGGGCTTGTGCTTCTGAATTGGCACCACTTGAAAAGGGACAGCAACCCAGGTCCACATCAATGTCCCCCAAAACTCTGAGGAATCTGCTGCAAAAAATACTTTCCAGCCACAACCACCTTTTAAAGCAAATCTTTAAAAAACAGCAGTGGACTATGAAGGACATTTGTCTGCAGGGACACAGTGTACCTGCCTAGCTTGCAATTCTGCCAGGCACAGAATTATAACTCCAGAGGATGATTAAAATTCCCAAGGAGTTTAATGTGCTGTGAGAACCCATTACATTTGGTTGAGGAGAGGAGAGGAGAGGATGATCCAGCATTCATTTGAAAATGTTTCACAAAATGATGGCACACATGGGGTAGACAGACAGACACTGCACTGTCCTTTTAGAACATGGGCAATTCTTTACAAAAAGATGCAGAACCTCCTTCATCCTAAGAGCTAAGTTCCATTTCTGAGGGGCTCTTGAACAAGGGGGCAGGGTCAAAAAAACAACTGCATCGTTTAGCTTAAAGTTCTTATTGTCAATCATTAAGCCTGAGGAAAGGCAAGTCAAGCTTCTAGAATGGGGGGCAGGCAGTGCACAAACTTGGGAAACTACCGAGTAAGTGGTAGTTGGAGGAAATGGGATGGTACAAAAGAAAGGGAGAATGGCTTTTTGGAGACCTCTGGAGGGCTGGATTTGGCACTGGAGCCTCAAGTTCTGCAGCCTGTCTTATAAAATTCAAGCATTTTTACAGAGCCTTACATTTTACATTATGTGTTTTTTTCATAGATGCTTATAGGATTCTCATAAGAGTATAAAAATTCTTAAATTCCACTGATTTCAAGGAAAAGGCACCAAATATTAGACCCACATTTTGAATACATGGGTATATAGGACCTGTAATAAGATATTAGACATGCTATTTGCATGCAACAACTACAAGGCAACAATGTACAAAACAAACATTAAAGGTAAAGGTAACAGTAAAGGTTTCCCCATGACATTAAAGCCCAGTCATGTCTGACTCTTGGGGGCAGTGCTCATCTCCGTTTCCTAGCTGAGGGTGCCAGCATTTGTCCACAGACGGTCTCCGTGGCCATGTGGCCGGCATGACTAAACACCGAGGTGCACAGAACGCTGTTTTCTTCCCACCAAAGTCGTATCTTTTTATCTACTTGTATTTGCATGCTTTCGAACTGTAAGGTTGGCAGGAGTTGGGACAAAGCAACGAGAGTTCACCTCGTCGTGCGAATTCGAACTGTCGACCTTTTGATCAACCAGTCCAGCAACTCAGCAGTTTAACTCACTGCGCCACAGGGTAAAATAACCAACTCTAGAATTCCTGAAAGCAGGTTTTCAGAAATGGATTGCCAACTTGACTACTAGTTCTTTGCTATACTTCAAAAACTTCTTGGGTTTATACAAAAACCTGAGGTAGCAAATCAAAGTCTCATCCATATTATGAAACCATATATGATTGTGCTTTCTAAACTGAAAGATAATCATCCTGAGAAAAACTGTTAGAAAAGGCTCAAAGGGGACTTACCTTAAAGAGAAAAAGCCAGTTTCAACTAAAGATGTAATATAGATTTCACCATGCTTTCCCTTATATTTATTCAGTATACTTTTTTTTAATCTTGAGGAAACACAGATTGTACACATTTGTCTTAATTCCTATGCTTGTTTTCTTTTTCTTTTAAAATGGAATAGAAGATCTGTAAGTAGGCCACAAACACAGGGAACCACAGACACACAAAATGACTTCAGCCGTAAAGCCATGCTGCTTCCAGACTTGGCCCTGTGCCTATTTCATAAGACCAGACAAACATAATACAGGAAGAGGTAGCTTTGGTGAAGGAAGGATATTTTTATCAAGTAAATAGAAAGCAGAGAAAATTAGAAGGAACGCCTATCTTTCCAAGGAAAAGCATGTAGAGAAGAAAACCTCAAGCACATCACTCCCCTGCTACTAAAATAACTATATGAACATTCACATGAAAGAGCAGTAAAGCATTTCTGGGAAGAACTTTTAAAATAAAGAATAGAATAAAACACACTCTTAAGACCCCTCACAAGATTTGCACAGGCTTGCCTTGGAGAACTGTGTGCTTCTCTTCGTTATTGTGCGATGTACTGTGCACTGTCCAATGCATCCCCACAAACATTGCACACCATCTCACATGCAGGACCTCCATAGCAAAAGTGGTCCTGGCAAGGAGAAATAATTTTTAACTGGGAAAGCCAAATTACAACTCAAGGGCTAGCTTCCCCACAAAGGTGACACAAGCTGAAAAGAAGATATCTGTCCCCCAAAACTGAGCAGCTACAAGTACTGGATCATCTATAAAAAATAAAACATTTGAATGAGCCCTCAGTGAGACTTACTATTGCACAGAGAAGATGCACACTGATGTAGACATATATGTTGGTTCAAGGAGCTGCAGATAATAGGGGTCTCGCCGCCACTGCCGCAATTCCAAAATTTGCTATAACGCAGCCTGTGTGTGCAACTTTTTGAACCATCCTTTACTTCAGAATATGTCTGCAGAAAGATCAGCACCATAAAAAGCTGATTCCATTCCAAAGCTACTCAGCCACTCTGGAAGGAAAGAGTGCCATAAATAGTTGAGGGGGCAGTCAAAGGTGCGACATATTACTTATTGCATTCAGATCACAATGCAGAGTGGGAAAGGAGTGTTAATAAACTTTGCATAGAATTCATCAATGATTATATAAAATCCAAGATAATGTAGATTCAAATCATGTAGTAATGTAGATAAAGCATAATTCTGAGTAGAATCCTACATGAGCCAAGCCAGTGGTTCTCAGTGGTATGAGGCTGGCCCTTACGTAATGGGGTGGCACATGATGAAGCTCCAAGGAGGGACAGGATTGTGTGCATGTGGAGCTTTCTTCTCCCCACTAGCCTAGGTTTGGCATGGACACATCCCACCGAGAGAGAACATGTCAAAATCCAATTCCTGCATGCTACCGGTTTACCCTAACCTGATTTGGAAGAATGGCTTTTGTGGTAAGGACATTCCCTCGCACATCATTTTAAAAAGGGCTTCAAGCATTCTTTTTCCTCCTCCTCCCAGTTTTGGTTTGATGCCTCCATCCAAAGATCCTTGAACGCACTTGTCTATATGCAAGAATCATCAGTGCTGCTGGAGGGTTTGGGAATGCTGGTGATAGAAGGTGGAGTATGTTTTGTAGAGTTAAGAAGACTGGAAACCACTGGGTTAAGTCAAAATATATGTGGTCCTTTCTCTCTTTTTAGAGTTTCATTGCTGGAAGTTGTCTCTCACTTCCCGTGTTTCTGCTGCAAGAGATAGCTAAACTTGTACACCTTGCCTTTAGCTGAATTTCACCAAGAGAGTTGAATGCTCAGTGAGTGAATTCCAGCAAATCCTCACTTTGAAAAAAACCCCAAAACCCAGTCAATGAGTATATTATATGCTTATGAGGCATCTGTAGATGTTCTGTGGATAAAGTGTTTTTCAGAAGACAAACCAACCCATTCCTTCTGTTGTTCTGCAAGCTTTTCTGCCAAACATTTTGTTAAAATGGGGTCCACTTTTGAATCAAATTTATTGGCAAACCAGTGCCCATAGCTGATAAGCCATCTCAGTTCTGCAGCTCCATAGATGCAGACACTGCGAAGATGCATGCCAGTACAGGGAGGATAGAGACGGTCCTCCAGGTAGTTCCATTTCACTAAACGAGTTTTACTCTGAAGATCCGTGATATCCTGAGCTTCCCTTGAAATGTGTCCAGGGGCTCCAGGGACACGAACAAGGGTTGCCCAGAAATGTTCATCAGGTGAATAGGTGTCCTTTGACCATTCAAAAAAATCCCAAGCAAGGGAGCTTTCAAGGACATATTGTACAAAAGCACGACACAAGACAAAATAGGCACTGCCCACAAAAACTTCAATATTATGGGGTGGTGGATCCTTAGAGATATTTGTTTTCACAGGCATCTTCGTGTATTCATAAGGCATTTTCTGAAGTTTGTAGTGATAGATAAACCGTTCTCGTTTACTGCTGCTTGGCTTGACTGTCTCCAACATGTTTGCTCCATTTAATTTCTTAAGTTCAGATACCAGCTCAAAGTTTGATCTCAGAGGAAAGTCTTGGCCACACAAATTAATTACATACTTCCATGGAACAGAAGACTTAAACAAATCAGACAAACAATTCAAATCTGCCTGGAGCCTGGAGATATAGGCATAATCCACTACTTCCAGTTTGGATGCAATGAAAATATTGGAGAAACATTTGGCTAGATTTTCCAATGCATGCTTGAAAGTGCTAGATGACTTTTGGTCATAGTGGATACAGTAAACATTTTGACTACTGTATATTGTATAGATAAGCCTCTCAACCATTATGGCATCTTTGTGAACAACCAAAGAGTAAGCTAATGGGAAATTTTCCTCTTCCAGGGAAATGGGCTTTAGAGAATATCCTCTCATTGTACGGTATGCTTGACAGTCACTAGTCATTGCTACAACATCTTCATCATCTAAATCAATAATCTCTTTTCTCTTTATCTCTAAAGTCTTTCCAATCTCCACTGGCTCCTGATCATATATAGAGGAACAATTAATATCATACAGAGCATCTTTTCTGAACTGGGAGTACTTGTTTCTCACAAATGATGAGGTGCTTAAGAAGGGCTCTACAAAGTAAATATCTCTGTGAAGGAATAACAGTTGCTTGAGAAGTTTCAGCAGCAAGAGCAGCCACACTGTTAAAAACACAGTCAAGAGACTTCGTCCTGTTAGATAATTGCAGGAGAGTTGATATATCTTCATTCTGTGAAAAGAAAATGATACAGCTAGGACAAGGTGTCGAGCCATCTATAAAGGCAATTCTATATTCCTTACATATGACACAAATTTGACAAGTCCACTGCTGCTTCAGTTACAGCAGAAAAATGGGGAGTCTCAACACGGCATTTTTTCTAGCAAACATGAACAAACTACAATACCGTAACTTTATGCAAAACTTTTCTTGAATCAAAAGCAGAAAAATTCCTTCTTTAGCTGGAAGTAAATGGGATGAAGTATCAACTGACATCTTTACTCACAATAAAGCCCACGTGTCAGGTGCACAGGCTGAATTCAAAGCCAGGCTCTCCAAGGGGTTAGGGGCAGACACCCTCTTCCCCAGGGCACTTCCTCAATCTAGAGTTCCTCCCAGTGGTGGCAAGAGCAGTGCTGCAAGGCAACACAGCGGCTGCTGCAACAGAGGTTGCTCCATCAGGGCAAGCAATAAGGAAGGCCAGATTGCGAGCGATGCCCAGCAACCCAACGTCACACTTAAAATTTCACTGGGTTGGGTACACATGTACATAGCTAATACACAAGATTGTGCTGACACATTGTATTCCAGGAATAATGTTTCAACAGAAGTAAAACAAGCCAGTTCTTCAAGGAAATGACTAAATGAATAGTCATTAATTTTTCTTCCTGTATGCTCTCTATGAGGTTATTTAGGATACACGAAGACCTGTGTTGTTTGTCTGGTCTGACTGGACTTCAATTTTGGTTTAGGACTACTTTGCTTATTATTAAAATAAAATGGGGATTTCTTTTCTTTTCTGTGCAAAAAGATACTTTACCTAAGGAGTTGTTGAAGGAGATCATAGCATAAGATGCTTTGTGGGAACAGGAAATGGAAAGACAGGTGAGTACAAACACACACAAAAGTAAGCAAATACTTTTTCATAAAGTGTTTAAGTGATGTTCTTAAAACCCACAGTTGGGCATTGGTTTTGCTACTGCAGAGAAAGAAATATGCAACAACTCTGTCCCAAATAAATTGCATTTAGTGAAAAACTTGTAATAAAACATTGATTACTGTATGTAACATAGGGAAGAACCCATGCCTTGGTGCATTTTGCTGCTGTGTTTGGATAAAGCTGTTTTGTATAACTCAGGAATTCCAGGAAATTCCAGATGTGCCTGCTTTTTTTTAGGCCAGTGATGGGAACATCTTGACTTTTGAGAGATTGCTTCATGCTCACAAAACAGCTGCCATATGGAGGGGTTTGGTCATTTAAGAAATGGCAAGGAATGACTGCCGTGGTGGATATGGACAATCACCAGACTCCCATTTCCTAGATGGCAAGTTAAGTAAGGCTAAACGAAAAGGAATTTACTGAAGAAAAAAATCAGTCTTTCAAATCCACAGTTTTCTGCACAAACTCATAAGGCTCTGAGACAAGTAACTTGGACAAGAATGCCACCTAATACCCATAAGCATTCTGCAAAATAAAGATGGTGCTGCAAGCTAGTGCTTCACTTTGTACTTTGTCAGCTTTCCAGCTTTTAATGTTTTTTAAAAAATGAGATAAAATAAAGAACAGGGAGCAGGCACCAATAAAGGTATGTCCTGAGGCCCATGGGCTCCAATGCAGAACACCAGGTATTGTCCATAAGGCAGTAGCTGATGCTTCCCAAGCATCAGGGGATTCATTCCTTGCATGGTGGGATTTAGTGCTTTAGTGCTGGAAATGCTCATTTCCAGAATGGAGCAGGTCAACAGAGCTTGTATAATGGAAGCATGACCACTCATTTCAGGACTGCTCTATGAAGCACTATGGGCCACAATTTTTTTAAAAAAACAGGGGTAGCTGGGGGCGGGGGGGGATTCCTTTTCGAATCAAGGCACATCTTTCAATGTATTATTTATTTATTTATTTGATTTTTAAAACTGCACCCAATAGTCCCATGCAGGACTCTCCTTTTTAACCCCACCTCCCCCCAGATACACAGGAACGGTAGAATTTTGAAAAGAAAGTACAAGGGGGAAGCCTAAATCTCTCCCTCCAAATTGCCACGTTCCCAAACAGAATCATGGCCTTGCACACCAGTATAGCCCTCAATCACTGCGGCACAAGTGCTGGTCCCACATGTGCAACAGATTTCATAGAAGCTCAGCAGATCCATTGCTCAAGGTCTCCCAACCTTCCCTCTCCAAAAGGAGCTCCTCCTGCATCCAGCATCGGGGCATGCAGTCAGCAGCCAGAGAACTACCAGGCGGCTGGGCCAGCTCCTCTTGGATTTGTTAAAAAAGACAGTTCAGAAGCATGCTGTCAGCAGCGGATACACATACATGGAAATTGGCAGCTCGATGCCTTGTTCAGCAGATACCACACAGAGGAAGCATCGTGCAGTCTTTATTATGCAAAACTTGCTACAAGTTGGGAACTTTGACCCTAAACAGACGGAGGAATACATAAACAGTGAAACAAGGTAATTTCTGATTAGCTCTGGCCTAAGTGTTGGATTCGGCCATCTCTATGCATGTAGCTAAATCATGCAGAGCAACCTACTCTAGCAGGCTGGTTCATTCTTCTGCAGACATCAGAAGGCCGGAGATACTAAACCCAGAACCATCTTAAGACATATCCTTGCAATACCCTAAGCCATTGGGATATGGCATCATGGTCTCTAAAATGGCATCAGTGTTTTATGGGTTACAAAGGCATAATGCATCTCCAGGCATATAATCTCAAATCTGCTACCCAAAGAATATGCCCTGAACTGCTCTTGATCCTATTGTTATGTCTGATCAACCACCCTCCTCCCCATGATCTAGAATATATTATGCTTTCAGGGAAGAGTTTTGACAGCAAAAATTGATGGCCATTCAGGAAATCAGCTTTAGATTTTTCACCAATCAAATGTTACATGAATAGAACTGTCACTTCAACTTGTGTACAGCTTTTTTGTAGGTGCAGAAGGCAATACCCAGTTTTTGTCAGGTAAATTATTTGAAAGCAGCTTTTCCACCTCAAAACATTAAGGCAGCTATCTGGAAGCAACACAGTTAAAAGCTGCCTTCTTTGTGCCTGTTTTCATGGGGAAGCATCAAGAGTGACATGGAGGTCATGCCATGAAATGTGAAACTCTAATAGGGCTGCACTCTCAGAAGTGGTCTATGCATTCCTGAGGACTAGAATACACAGGCAGAAATTGGCTGGTGGTAAATTCTGAGCTGAAGGCACAATCCAATGCAAGTTTAGAAAGATAAGAAAAAGCCTTACAACTAGCCGGATGGGAGTTGTAAGATGTTTTTCCTGACTAAACATGCATCAAATTGCACTACAAGCTGTCATAAACTGCCTTAGTTGGTGGGAGGGGGTTACCAGAAGCTACATGTACACAGGGATGTATGCACCCCCATATAAAATAAAAAAATTAACAAGTGTCCTTTCAGCCTAAAGCAACTTACAATTAAAATTTAGAACTATTCTAAAACTTTCAAAAGTTTGAGTGTGGTTCAATATAATTTACATCTGATAAACTGCTGTCCAGCAAACCAGGAGTGACGGCACAGGTTTCTCGTCCTTCTGTTCTGCCTTAAAATGTATTTTGAGCCAGCTTTCCCTACTCCCTGTCCTCTGGAGAAGTCACCACAGTGCTCTCAAAAGAGGAAGCACTGTGGAGCTTTCCATTTCTGCTGAAAGGGTGGCCAGGGAAATCCAAGCAGGAACCCCGCTCTAAGGTCCCTGTCTATAGCCCAGGAGGTCAGGGAATCTGCCATAGCCTATGGGTCCAGAGGCCACCTGTGAGTCATAGGACAGCTTTCTTTAAAACTAATTTTAAAACATCACCACCGGCAAAATTAAGAGAGAGACAATTTTTAAAATACTCGTAGAATGGATGTATTCACACATAACAAGCCATACTGCAAAATGCACAGGCATGGCTTGTCCTTGTATTTGAATTTGTGTTTGAATGTCGTTGTTTGTTTTTCGGTGCCAGGCTAAGACCTTTTTATTTAAACAATATTTTAATAATGTTTAATATTAACTATAGGTTTTAATTTGCAGCCAGAATGAATCGGGTTTTTAATTTGTATAATCTGTATTTTTTATTATGTTTGTTTATTTCTGTAAGCCGTCCCGAGGCATTAAGCGATGGGATGGCATACAAAAACTCTAAATAAATAATAAATAAATAAATTCAGCATCCATGGTGAAGCCTGGCATGTTTGGTTTCTATGAAACCACACGGAAAATCAAAGGATCACTGTAAGGTTTCCACTTTCACCACTGCCTCCTGTTATGTGTGGCCCAAGTTATAGTGCCTCTGTGTGGTTTCTGTAAAAAAAATGACTTCCCCTTGATAGAATTTAGAAACTTGATTAGAGATTTCCTCCTTAATTCTGTATAACCCGCTTTTCTATGAATTCCCCATCTTCACTTGCCAATCAAGTTTTTTGCCAGTGGCTTCTTCTCTGTTCAGCTCCTCTTCTCCTGCACTGGAATTTCCTCCACCTTCCTCTTTTTGGTTCAGATTCATGCGCACAGGGAATTGTCTGACCTCCTGGTGTGATGAAGTAATTATGATGGTGTCATGAGTTTAACTGGGTGACTCCATCTGTAGTTTATTATCCAGGGATCTCAGATTTAGGCACAACATCTAAATGCCCTTTGTTTTTGAACAACATCAGGGCACAAATCCTGAAATTCTTATGCTTGGTCCTTTTCATATTGCAGTTGCATCTGGATCCTGTCAAGCATCTGGATGCTTCATGAATGAAGCATTCAGTTATATCCCTCAGGAATGTTTCCATTACAGATTTAACTTGGAGAGTTCTGTGCTACATCCCTTCATTTTATATTTGATTTGAAGGAAAGTTCTGCTAGCCACATTGTCAAGAGTCAAATTCTTATCTTGGTTTTCCTCAGATTCCTGGATTCTGTGAAATGTATCTGCTATGATTTTCCAGGGCTTCCATTTTTCCCTGCAATTCCATATTAGATTGTATTATCTTTGTTACTGTTTTTCTCTTTGTTAGACCTGCCCATAGCTGCACTTACTGTTTTTGCAATCTCTTTCAGGTGCTTAGAGACTTTATTTATTTGTATTTCCAAGGACTGGAGAGTAGCAGACCAGTCTTGCCTCAGGCTTCTTATGTTGGCCACTGAGCCCTTCCCACCTTTGCCTTTTTTCCAGGGACAACATGATGGATCCCACTGTTGGGCCTTCTACCTCCTCAGCTCCTAGGCCTTTTATTTTTAGCTCTGCATTTCACAGAAAGTCTATTGTCCAGGGATTTCAGAAGGCAGCCTTTTCTTGCTTCTCAGATGCTCACTTTGTTTTGCTATTGTGCAGGAGCAAATTATTATTTGCATCCCAGGATTAGAGCATCAGGTTCAACTACCAATTGTGTCATCCCCACATGTAGTTTCCTCACTAACCAGCAGTAGTTCTGTCTTGTCTAGACTGAGCTTCTGTTTTTTAAATCCACATCCAGTCCATTACTACATCTATGCAATTGCTCAAGAACTGGTATCGGTTGCCAAAGAGAGCCGGATATCATCAGCACAGTAAGACGCAACCCTCCAAATGCTGAGTTACCTTGCCCAATGGCTTCCTGTAGATGGTAAACAGCATAGAGAAATGATATGTGCAGAGGAATGAATCCGGGATCTGCCTTCTCTGGGAGAGTTTCACCTGCAGAAGGTCCTCTGTCCAGTTTTGGAGAGCCCACCCATACTTCTGCCCACCCCATACAGCAGGATCTCTGGCTCTTTTGCAGCGTTTTCAGGGAGCTGGAAAGGCAGATTTGGAAAGAAGGCAGTAGCAAAGGTCACTTAATTCTGATTCAACCCAGACACAGAGGGATTTTTTTTCTGGGGGGTGGGGGGGGGGAGCAATTTGCAAGATAACTATAGCTTAGAGCTAGAATCATCTATACATTACCTTATAGCTCAGTATAGTAGTTATACCTCATAGCTTACTTAGCAGCCCCTGAATAAAACCAACATTCGTTCTCTGATTTGTACCACACTTTCTGTACCTAGTGGATGTTAGCTGCAGCTTTCCTCTCTCCTGTTACCCTTCTTTTCTTTTCCCTGATGCATCACAGGTTCCTTTTGCACTTGCTTACTGGTGAGTGCAGAGAGGGACAGCTGTGATTTTTTTCTATTTCCAAACCTTCTTCATCATGTTTTTAAAAAGTTAGCCCTGTGAATGGATGGCAGAATCAGAATTATTATAGTAACCAGTGAGTCACACTGACAGCTGCTATCGTGATGCCTCACATTAAAAAAAGAAAAACAAACACCTATTGCAAATTTGCTTTGCTTGGTCACAGTTCTGTCTCTACTGTCAACAATGGCCCCAGACTCCAATCACAATAAAGTCTGCTTCATGCATTGCAGGTTTTCTACATGGACATCTCTTTGACTTAGGAAATAATATGAACTCTCTACCAAGAGAAAGTTTTTCATTTTTTTCATTTCATCCGTCCATTTGTTTTTAATGGAACGATTGGGTCTGTTTGCTGAGTCACAGAGAAGGAAATAAGCCCCAGTGGTTTATTTCCCCCACTGTGAGGGCTGGTGGGTTTTGGATAATTACCCTCAGCAGAGTAGTTTTTCATGTTGTATAAACCTGGTGAGGATATTTATTTATTTAAAGCTTTTCTATCCTGTCCTATTACAAAAAGTTTCAGGACGGACAGAGATCTTGCTCATATGGTTAACAAGTTATCACAGAACCCTACAACAGCCCATGGGCTGTCGCTGGGTTCACATGACACAGCAAAGCTGACCACAAA